TTATCCTAATAAATATTAACCAACCGTTCCGTTGAAGAAAAAAAACCATGCAAAACTTTTTAATATCTTACAAACAGTGAAATAAGCAAAAATAACATGAAAGAAACTCAAAAAACAAAAAATACGAACAGAATTTTACTCTGCAGAACAACTTACAAAAAAAAAAAAAAAAAAAAAAAAAAAAGAAGTATTATATTAAATACAATGAAATATGCCATCTCTTAAAAACAGTGACATAAGAATCGATGAAAAATTGTTGCCAAACCCATATTTCTAAAAGATGAACTATTCAAAAATGATGCGATTTCATCAAAATCTATCAACACCAATAAGAAAGGAATTGTTGCCAAAATCACATTTTAAAAGATGTGAGATGAAGTGTACTCAGAAGCTTTATTTAAATTTTTTTTTTTTTTTTTTTTTAAATACAAAATATTATCATTTTTCCAAAATTCTTTTTGTAAAGCATCCCGAGGATGAAAGTTTAACGTGTCCAAAATCAAAGAAAGTAAGCTATACATTTTAAAAATAAATTTTTGGAAATATCTCTTTTAAATGTGTTAAGCTCCCTTTGATAAATAATTCGTATTGATCGATTTATTGAAACACGAAATTTATTTTAAGTTCGTAAAATAGCTAAGTGCATACGTTTCATGACGATGTGAAAATGGAGTGTGTAGAGTAAAATCTCGCTTTCCTATAGCCCATTATGTCTCAAAATGACGCGATTTCGTCCCAAAACATTAAATAAAAAAAATTCAAATTCGAATTTCGAAAAAATCGCTTCGAGGTGCACTGACTCTTGTCTAGATGCACCTATGTACCAAATTTTGTAGCCGTTTGTCTATTAGCTTACGCGCAGCGCGAACGAAAGACACACACAGACAGACTCTTTCTTTTATTATATTTAGAGAAGAGACGTCCAAATGCAACTAACTCAGAAACATCAGGACAAATGCAACTAATACAGAAACATCAGGACTTTTTTCTGTCCAATGGGTAGACAGATGAAATGTTTTAAGTCACTCAGAACAAAGAAAAATCAAACAAAATATACAGAATTTACAATTTGACTTCGTCTTCCACTTAAAGGGATACTGCTATAACATAGTGCTTAATCATATAACCTTAGCCATTAATCACGTTGAAATAATTTCTTTAGCTTCCAAGAACTACTATAATTTCTCCGTAACAGATGATAAAATTTGAAACTTTCTTAGAAATAACGTGTTTAACCTTTCCCTGGATGACGGATGTGTCAGTCAGAGAGAGACAAAGAAATTATTCCGGCTACATTTTATGTCTAATTTTACTTAACTCGCTTTTCCTGAAGGACACCAAAGACGGAGATGAAAACAGAAAGGAAGTTTTAAACTCAAAGTTAGCCTGGTAGCTCTAAAATCTACATCAAAAGTTGATCATAAAAGACGAAGAATTACAAGTGAAGATATAAGTATGTTAAGATAATGAGGTAATGATAAACTGGGTTTTTAACCTTCAAGCACGCGCGTATGCGCAAAATTTACGACAAATTCAGTTTTAATGCACATTTTTCGCATATCGAAGCTGAGACGTCTGAAGGTCATTTCTATTCCTGTTTTCTACCCTTCCGCACTTCATGGAATGGGCCAACAGGAAGTCATTTGAATTTTTTTTTTAACTGGGCTTTTGTGCTACGTGACAGCTTTTTCATAAAAGTTACGACACACGCGTGGTCGTGTTTTAAAACTGAAAATATTTTTTCTCAAATATTTTGTAATTTTGTGTTATTAATTGCCGTGTATTATTTTAATTTGAATACATTTGGCTCTGTAAATTTTATATCGGTTTTCATTGCAAAAAAATATATGCAACCAGCTGATTTTGCTCGGATTCTTCAAGAATTATCTGATGAAGAAAAGGAAGACAAGGAAACCTTTTGATCGGAGAAAAATAGCGATTTCCATTCCCCCCTCCTTTTTTTTTCTTTTTTAGAAATAAATAAAAACATTAAAGTTAGTTTAAAGTGCATTTTTGTAATTTTTGTAGAAAGTAAGAAGTAAATTTCCTTGCAGAAGTAAGTAATGCTAAACTTTCTTTTTTTCCTACCAAGATGTTTTCCTTTTTTATTGTCTATGCTTGTCTTTGATGAACATTAAAATTAGCTTCGATTTTAAAATATAACTATTAAATAATAAATTTAAAATTTTCTATAATAAAATACATCATTGCATTTCCATCTCACTAACATAAGAACTTAAAAATAATTTACTTATATTTGAATGTGATATCATTTGTATTTGCAATAATAAGATTAATATTTTATTTCTTAACAAATTTATTATCAATATTCCCTAATTTATGTCGTTTATCGTGCCCAAAACAGTAAAATAACGGATGTCGTATAAAATACGAAGCGCGTTCGTGTAAAATTGCCAAGCGCGCGTGCTGGAAGGTTAATAGCTACGTATTCTCGGAAAGCTGGAAGTACTCACAATATCCATCATTGAGTTTTGGGCACTGATACTAAAAGTTTCTAAATAAACTGTTATCCTTTAACGCAGTGTATTCGAAAAAAATTATGAAAATTTCTATTGTGCTAAAAGATTAGCATTAGCTGAAACTTTTCCGCAGAACTGGAAACGTGTTGGTCATAGGTCAACGCACTAATGAGTACAAAGTTGTTATATGAGTTCGTTTGCATTTTAAAAATGGCTAAACCTGTGATTTAACTGAATTCTTCAGTCTATTTGGTATCGAAAAAACGGTCATTGCTATTTTGTATATCAAGCTCTGCTAAAATTTTAACTTTCCTCAGAGTTTCTCAAATACATAAATTTTTTCCCCTCTTGGTGGTATTCAATAATTACCCGAGTAATCAATTGCATCTCAAACACAGTATGTGTATGTTTATAGGAACTACACAATTTACGTCAAACAAAGGCAACTGGCATCGGACAGTGAAACTGAAACATCCGCATTCAGAGACCATAATTCGTATTTTTAGATTATACAGAGGCTGTTCACACATTTTTTAGACGATGTATATTGTATTCACAAAACTAAATTACATAAAATTCTTGTGTTTTAAATGTTCTATTTGACATTCCTTATTCTGAACTATCTTTCGACACCCCAATTTCCAGGATAATAATGCCATTTGAAGTGGCAGAAGAGGTATTCTATCCCATTCCTCCCGAACAGCTTTCCAGAGTCCTCTTAGGGTTTTGGGGCAACGTTTGGATAATGCAGTTTTTAAAAGTCCGAAAGCACAAAACTCCATAGGTGACACATCGGGAGATTTAGTAGGGATATCGGTGAAGGGTGCCTTGATACGAGTTTTTTGTTCCATTTCGTTTAGGAAATTTACAGTCGATTTTGATGTGTGACTGCTAGCTTTGTCCTGATGGAGTCTCACAATGGATGGCACTGTGGGTAAGCGATGGATTTCATTCAGAAAAATTGGCGATAAAATATGTTCCTGATAGTATTTGGAGTTTCTGGACATTTTTTTGCACTCTCTTTTTTTTTACTTGCCCATTCTAAGAAAAACCAGCAACAATCATGAATCCCTTAGAAAACCTTTCTATCGATTCTTTGAACCATGTACTTAAATTTTTTCCTCCTCTTTTATGATAATAAATGGCTCTTTTTTTGTTACAATCATTTAAATACACTTATGCTTCATCTATTGTGACAATTGTTTTCCATTTTTCTTTGGATAAGTGTTTCTCATATAGAAATTCTGCAGCGTGTCCTGCGTTGAGCGCGATATGCTTTGGAAGAAGACGATGCACATTGCCTTTTTTCGCTTTTTAAAGATTTAAATCAACGTTTATCATTTTGTTACAGTGGACAACCGAGCATTTGATGATTTTGCAACTGTCCTTTGACTAGGGGGATTTTCTTTTAACATTAAACAACGTACCTTTGCAATAGTCGAAGATGTCCGTTTTTTCCTTGGATACTTTTTTGGAATTTTTGTTCCACCTTGAGGCTCTAATTTGATGTTTTTTTTCCTTTCTTGTTGATGATATTACCTATCGACGCTTTTTAGATATCACAAAACCATGACTTTCATATCGTTTTTCGATAACGGAGTATGCATATTTCTCTTCGGAAAGAGCGTAAATGTAGCCTTAACCACTGCTTTGTTAAATTCGCCATTTTGAATAAAAACAAAACTTTCAAACCACAGACGATAATTTTGACTTTTAAAAACATAGTACAATTGCAAGTAGTTCTTTTTCAGCAAACGGTTTTTTATTACCGCTTACCGAAATCGTCTAAAAAATGTGCGAACAGCCTCTGTACAAAGAGAAAATTACAAAATTCCTTGGTGTTCCATTCTATTGTTGTTGCTCAATTTTAGATACTTTTCTAATTTCTTAAATAACTTAATAGAAATTCCTTCTTCAAAGTATAAGGTTTGTCTATGTGAAATTTATTTAAAGTTGTTTAGCTTAAATTTATTTAAATTGTTTACTTGAAATTTTCAGATTCCGATCTTCCATCCCCTACAAAAATGGATAGACCGAAACACTTCAACTTCCTTTAACTTCTTTTGAACAATATAGTATAATAAAAATGGGAAGAAGAATTTTAAGTAGCGCATTTACTAATAAACAGTCAGTTAATTTATTAATAAAAATGTCTGTTGCCTGTTGTCGCCATTTAACCCGTATAATAACCATCAAAAAATAATGCGCATTATTTGTAAAATCCAACTTGATTATACTATAAATAAAGCTTTCATGCCTGGTTCAGTAGGCCTTTGCAATAGCTTACTCGTAACCCGCATTTAATGGTCAAACTCTTCATGAAAACTTAAAGATAATGCTACATCGGCGAATTAACGCTGAGTTTATATGAACAGAGAACAGATTTTAGATAATTCATAGGATTTGTTCCTTGCAGATTTAAGAAGAAACCACAACTAAATTCCGATTGGGATAAAAATTTTACAAAGGCATTTTAAAGTTATGTTTCTACCATTAAAAAAATAGAATCTGTATACTCACGAGATAACTTCGGGAAACCAAAACACACACTCACTAATATGGCGAAGGCGAAAATTATGGCGTTCTTCATTGTATTGGCCTGCCTGTGAAAATTCAAAATGTAATAATGATTACAATATGATTACAGTTCTGCAGCATTTAAATTTGTAGGAAGGTATTAATAACAAACCACATGAAAATGTTTACGTAAATGCAAAATACTGATATAATCTTCTAAAGCACAGAAACTAACTTTCTCTAACTCCAGAAAATACCTAAAACTTGGAATTTTGCACCACTCTTAGAAAACGTTAAACACCAAAATAAATTTATTTGTGGATAAGTTTTGTTTTTTCCTCGTTAAAACCCCAATTAACACAGAAGTTCAGGTAAAAGTGATGAGATATAAATTTTTATGACAAATGCATTCGTTTTCTTACTAATTAGCAGTCTCTGCGAAAACTTTCTGCAGAAATAATTTGCGGAATATAGATACACATCACTTATATGTATTCCGGCTTTAAAGATAAATATTACTCTGAATATAGATGTTTTGAGGTATTCTTCAGCTGTTGTGTAAATATTGGTGAAAATTCATTTACTCAAAACGGCTGATGTTTTGAATTTTGAGATTGCTTAAATGCCTCTTTCCCAAAATTAAGCATTTCCCAGAAATTCTGCACTGAGTTTTGAGAAGGTTATATATAACTATAATTGCAGTTGAACAGCCATGGCTTTCATTATTTCATCACAGAGAGTAGAAGTGTAGAGTCATTAGGTTAATTGGAAGCAGAAAAGATGAAAAATATGCAACCGTCTTCGCCGGGAATCGAACCACGGACCTCTGGAATACCGGCCCAGCGTGCTACCGTTACACCACGAAGGCACGCTAGGGAAGTGGGAGAAATACCTTATATACTCCCCTTTTTAAAGAGCGACTAGGGTTTTTAGGGGACTTAGTTGCCAAATCCTGGGTGCGGAGAATCATCATCCACAACCCTTTTAGTTCGGGCGCCAGTTGTAGAGTCATTATGTTAATTGGAAGCAGAAAAGATGAAAATTATGCAACCGCCTTCTCCGGGAATCGAACCACGGACCTCTGGAATACAGGCCCAGCGTGTTACCGTTATACCACGAAGGCACGCTAGGGAAGTGGGAGAAATACTTTTATAGAAGTACCTCGAATGTTTTGTCACGGAGAGTCTAAGACGTTTAGTTTAGTTTAGTTTAGTTTAGTTTACGAGTATGCTGCTACCCTCCTGGCCGACAATAATCGGCCTCATGGTTAACGCAGCACACCCGACGCAGACAAACAACAACAACAAAATAATAATGAAATAATTAACTAAATAAATAAAAGATTAAAATATTTAAAGTCCTATTCCTATGATAGTCTTGTTTTCATTCACAATTCTCATAACTTCTGTTGCATAGCTATTCAAGAATTTTCTTCTTTCAATTACATTCTTGTTCATTTATTTTTCCAAATCTCGTACTTCACACTCGTCGGTCAGTTTACATTCTTCCATAGAATGAGCAGCATTTCTGTACTTCCCACAAGCCAAGCATTGATCATTGCTCTGGAGATTAAAACGTTTTAAACAGGCCATGAATCTACCATGATCCGTGATAACTTGAAATAGGTATCTATATTATTAAATAGATCCTTTTTTTCTTTTTATGGTCAAAATCCTCAAGTAACCCTTATTTTTATTTGAACCATTCCATTCCCGAGCCCATTTCTCAATTATACTTGCTTTCATTTTTCTCAAGGTAATTCTTCTGGAATCATTAATAGCCTCATAGATATCACCCTCTCCCAGTCTAGGACGTTAACGAAACACTTGAAATGCTACGGAATATCTATGGTGATGATGTGTAAAAAACGTGTCAGGATTCCATATATAATACGCGAGTCCGCATATAATACGCGATCGACAAAGAAAGTTCTAGCCATCGCGGTTAAGTATGCCAACAAGCACATCCATGGACAGACGCAGAAAAGTAAATACCGTCTAAACGTTGTAACAACTACTTTCGGGAAGCCATGAGAAAGTACAGTAAGACCCCGCTTAACGCTGTTTCGTTTAGCGCTGTTTCGGTTTAGCGCTCTTTTATTTCAACCCGGGGATTCTCCGAAATTGTGCGCAGCGCTAGGTTTCCAAATAACATATCCGAAACAGTGTAGTTGTGTTTCTTGCTTTTTATCATTTGAAACAACATTTGTTGACATTATTGTAAATTTGATATATAATACTATAACGATTAATAATACAGTGACAAATATTATGATCTTTAGTTTTTATCATGGGTGATAATACGAGTAAAACACAAGAAAGAAAGCAACCAGAAAAAGCATTTCACTGGAAACTCAAATGCAAGTGATTAGAAGATCAGATTCTGTTGAACGTCCATCTCAAATTAGTGCTGCATTGAATTTGGCAACTTCAACAATAAGGACGAATCTTAAGAATAAAGAAAAAATACAGTCATCGGCAACTGCAACTACGTCGAGCTCTGCAACTAGAATTACCCGTTCTAGAAATAACATTATAGAGGAAATGGAAAAACGACTGTCTATATGGATTGACGACGAAATTGAACGCAATATGCCATTAAGCCAAGCTATCATAATGCCTTCTTAACAAAAAGGCAGAAAATTGGAAACCCAGAATAGACTGATGATCTGACTGAGAATTTTTTTTGTTTTTTAAAAGTATATGCGTTTATATTGTTTTTATTTTTGTAAGAAATAAATGTTTGATTTTATTTTTATTAAAAAAACATTATTAAATTTAATGCCTAACCATTTTTTATCCGTCTTCCCCTAACCCCATCATTTACATGTTAAGATAGCCTCGCTTAGCGCTGTTTCGCATTACGCTCTACTTCGATGGAACGTATCCCCCGCGTTAAGCGGGGTCTTACTGTAACTGCGTTTGCTCAAACAGTAGCAGCTTTTTACTGCGAGACAATGCCAGCTTCATACTGCTACTATGAAACTAGTGGCACAGCCTGAAATCGATCTGCATAAATACCGAGCATATACCCTAGACCAGGTAGAATATTGAAAATACCCAGCATATACGCTAGACCAGGTAGCATATTGAAAATAACCAGAAGATAGCCTAGACCAGGTAGCATGTGATTTCGTAATACAGAAAAGGGTTCTTTTAACATCAGGATGTGAAAAATGTCGTGTCTCCAGTTGTAAAAAGAAATTCACAAAACGGTCCATTTTATGCTTTTGAATCGCTTATAAAACGGTTTGAAAAGTGCCGTTCAATATGAAGGACTCAAACTTGAAAATGAAAACGCAGTAAATGAGAGCAATAGTGTCATCTGCATAAGAAAATCAGTTTAAATTTGCCTGCATTTTCAGTCTGTCTGGACTGCAACTACGAGGTTGTTCAATAAATTCGCGGAGCGCCATCTATTCGTCAATATTAGACCTAAAACTTCGACGCCATTTTCATATTTGTTCTTTCTTAGGAACACGTCAAAAGTTTCATTTCGATTTGTTAATTTATTCATTTTTTAACCGCCCTTTATATCTAACGTGTTGTGAATTTTTTCAGGTATGGATAAAATTGAGCAATGTGCAGTTATCAAATTCTTTGTAAAGAAAGGTTTAAAGGCAATGGAAATTCATATCGAAATGGTGAATGTGTTGGTTGAATCTGCTCCTTCAAAAACAATGGTTTGCAAGTGGGCTAGTTTATTCGAAAGTGGTCGTACCAGCCTTGAAGACGATACGCGAGAGGGACGTCCAAAAACTGCATCAACACCGGAAATCATCAGAAAAATACAAGATATGGTATTGGAAGACCGTCGATTGACTGAAAGAGATTTAACAGGGGCTTTTAGGCATTTCATTGGGCACAGTGAGCAATATTTTGAGTGTTAATTTGGGTTTCAAAAAACTCTGTGCAAAATGGGTGCCGCATTCTCTAACGATGGAGCAAAAACACATTCGGATGCGACTTTGCCAGCAACATTTGGAGCGTTTTAAGAAGAATAAAAGCGACTTTATCCGTCGATTTATCACAATGGATGATACTTGGGTCTACCATCATGATCCTGAATCAAAACAGGAGGCTAAGGAGTGGTGTGAACCCGGCTCTTCGGCGCCGAAGCGAGTTCGTGTGCAAAAATCGGCCAAGAAGGTGTTAGCATCAGTTTTTTGGGATGCGAAAGGAATTTTGTTTATAGATTACCTTCAAACTGGCAAAACAATTAATTCGGATTATTATTGTAACTTTTTGAATAAATTAGACGAAAAAATTCGTGAAAGAAGACTCGGATTACAGAAGAAGAAAATCATTTTCCACCAAGATAACGCACCTGCGCACACAGCTCAAAAAAAACCATTGCTAAAATAACTGAATTAAAGTACAAATTGTTGCAACATCCAGCCTATTCGCCAGATTTCGCTTCCTCCGACTTCTGGCTCTTCCGACACCTCAAACAATATCTCCGTAGAAAACGATTTTCTTCAAACGAAGAGGTAATAGCTGCTGTGGAGGGAATATTTTGCAGAGCTGCCGAAAAAAACACTACAGTCAAGGGATCCATAAATTAGAAGACCGTTGGAATAAGTGTATTGAAGTTGAGGGAAACTACGTTGAAAAATAAAGTCATTTTTACAAATAAAAATTGGTTTCTTCATTTCCGTTCCGCGAACTTATTGAACAACCTGGTATTAATAAAGCGAAATCTTCTTCATGGACAAATTAGAGTTGAAATGTTAAATTTAAACTGTAATGAAGCATTGCAATGAAGGAGAGGTGCTGTAATGAGATACTTTTATACATTATACTGTATATGTAATATTGCTAATGATTTTTACTCTCCGTTATATATCAGTTTATATTCCTATTGAATAGTATAGTATATACTGAGTTCTGATACTGCGATTTTTAATTCTGAATAATAGAAAATTAGGTGAATTTATTGGTAAAAAACAAAATTATGAATCGAAGTGGATAATGCCTGATATTTTAAAATTCAGTATTGTTTGAAAAAAAAAAAAAACATCGTGTTTTAGAAAAAAGTTAGTCTAATGCAGTTCAAATTAAAACTATAAAAATGGTTCAAAAGGATAGAAAGATTTTTAGAAAGAGATATTTATTACCAAGTTTAAACACTCAGCCTATTACTAAATGTGAATCAGAATCAGAAGTTCGTAGTATAACAGAATAACACAGGAAACAGAGCATTCAGGCAATGTTAGTGAAACTACTAGAAGTCTTAGGATCAGTCCACGTCTGTCATCACAGTTTGAGGCAGTGACGAAAGAAGAAAAGGAGTTCCATCGTCGGACGAAAGAAACGTGAATAAAAGTTTTTTAAGAAATGTTAGCAGTTAACCAAAAGCCAAACGTTAGGTCAAAATAATACCAAAAGGCAAATGTTAAGTCAAAATAGTATAGCACAATCAAAATATAGAAATAGATTAGAGTTAACGAGATATATTTCACCTTTTTTTTTTTAACCCTAGAAAAGTAATTTGAGAACCAAAGAAATTATTGGATTTGTTTAAAACAGAACTGCTAAAGCTGCGAGAATCCGAAACTAAGATTTTCGAATCTTTCACATAAGAATAATGATAAAAAGGAAAATGACAAAAAGTTATTTACTATTAAAATTTTTTACTGAAATATGAAATCTATATGTCATAAAAACAAATTTAAGTTATAAAGTTTTCTGAAAAAAGGCATTTAAATTTGTAGAGATATTAGGATTTTTGGAAGCAGGCAAGATGAAAAATGAGCAATCGCCTTCGCCGAGAATCGAACCACTGACCTCTGAAATACCGGCTCAGTGTGCTGACCACTACACCACGAAGGCATGCTAGGAAGGCGGAAGAAATACCTTATAAATTTATTAAAAAGACAGAAATGAAAGTAAGTAAATGTGTAAGATTTATTTAAGAGCACGCTATTATTATATTAATTCTTTTCCTTATTTTCTGCTTCTTCCGTCAGTTGAATGTAAGTTAGACCAGAATGTAAGTTATATTAAGTTTAAACAGAGAGCGAAAGTATAATTTAATGGCAAAGCGACAAAAAGCCATTAATTTTGAGAGCCATCCTTGTATGCCGATTGGTTTAGGTAGATTCCATGTCACTTAAAAGACAGTTGTCAGCCAACAGCACATTTAGGCAACACGTACATGTCATTTGGGTCTTTATTTAACGCTATACAGACTACAGATTTTAAAGGTAGCCAGAAAAGCACCCTTATATTGTCAGAGATTAGATAACCTGAAATAACAATAACCAAACCAATCAGAAATTTCGTCATAAGTTTAATTACAGTTACACTTGCGTGTTTCTCCTAGTATGCGCTATAAGGTATTGTATTTCTCCGGCCTTCCTAACGTTCCTTCGTGGTGTAGTGGTTCTGCACGCTGAGCCGGTATTCCAGAGTTCCGTGGTTCGATTCCCGGCGAAGGCGATTATTCATTTTTCATCTCGCCTGCTTCCCCCCCCAAAAACCTTAATGTCTTTACAGTGGCGCCCGAACTAAAAGGGTGCTAGATGATGATTTCTCCCCACCCAGGATTTGGTAATTGGGTTCCCTAAAAACCCCAGTCGCTCTTTAAAAAGGGAAGTGTATAAGGTGTTTCTCCCGCCTTTCTACCGTGTCTTCTTGGTGTAGTTGTTCTGCACGCTGGGCCGGGATTCCAGAGGTAAGTAGTTCGATTCCCGGCGAAGGATTGCTTTTCATCTCTCCGGCTTTTCCAATGAATCAAATGTCTTTACAATGCCATTTAAAAAAACTTATTTTTTTCTTCGTCTTCGTTTTAAAATTTGACTTTAAGTATACATATGTGATAACTTTTTGGATGGGACGATAAAAAAACCCACTTGCATCGCAGTTGTGGTTGGAGTGGCTTTTATTACTTTTCGATTTTTAACTTATTGCATAATATATCTCATTACATGGCACAGCACACTGGGGGCAATTTGCACCCCACGGTTTTAAACTACGCAGTTCATTTTTTTAAACAACGCAGAAATATAGCCAAGCGACAGATGTGGCTTATTCCCGCATAAGTAAGCAGCAAAAGAGAGTGCGCACAAGGCAGCTGAAATATTTATACTCGAAAATTCTTTGACTTCTAAATAATGATCGGATAAAAGCTGAGGGCATTTCGGAATACTACAGAGAAAGAGTGACGTCCAGTGAAGAAGCTAACGGAACTTGTCTTTTAATTCAAATTAAAAATTTAAAGGTCTATTACCAATTAAGTGTCTTTTATAATTTACATATATATAGATAGAAATTTATATCTGGTATATTAGTAGCTGCTAATTTTAATAACGTTAAAAATGTGAGTAATATTCCCAATTTACTATATTTGAAAATTATCCAAATCGCATGCTAGCTTTCCAAGAAATTTAAATGCAAAATTTAGCTATAAAGTATGCTTGAAAAGTAGCCTCCTGCATCAAAGTTTCAAAGAACAAGCATACAAATGATTTCAAAAAGAATTTATTGTATTGAAAATTAACCTTGCTCAAATGAAATCCTACAAATTTGCTAATAATTTAACGTTCTAATAACATTGTTATAAAGAAAAAGAGAGTCGTGAAATTAGAATAATAAAAAAAAAAAAAATTATATTCTTTAAAGAAAGAGAAATGTTCTTCTTTAAGAGCTTTACAGCCACTTTAAAAATTGTCATCTTAATTTAACATTTGGTACCCACAGAAATTAACAGAATATATCACTCACTTCTGAACAATTATTGGTTAATCTTTGGATTATGGTAACTTGGCGACTTTTTGGCGACAATTTGGCGACCAACCCTGCTAGTTTTGTTTTGGACGCCATTTTGTTTTCACGAAGGCACTTTTTTTTTTTTTTTTTAACTCAACATTTTTTTCTAACAATATGCTAGCCGAATTACGCTTATGCTAGAACTTTTATGGAACAAAAATGCTTAATCATGACAAAGATTAGGTGCGAAATTGGGAGAAAGTGCAGAATCGCAAACTGCTTGCCGCGTTTTTAAGAATTGCACATACACGGTATCCATGTACACGTCGACCTATTTCCACTTAAAAAAAAAATCCCAGAATTGCACAAAAATGGCATTGCGCACACTCTTGACTTTATCCGTGTACACTGCTAAAGTCCTAACTAGTAACCTTATCGCCTTACCAAAATGTCGCGAAACTACCTGTTACCATATTCCAAAGATTAGCGTAATTCTTCTTCGTTTATTTACATTTGTAGAGGTTGTTTATTTACATTTGTAGATTTTTGAAAGCAGGAGATATGAAAAATGAGGAACTCGCCGGGACTCAAACCGAGTCCTCTTGAATACTCGCCGAGTATGCTACCGCTACACTACGATTGGATTATTTAATTATGGCAAAGCACGCGAGGGCTATCTGCCTAAAGGGAGGGACGCCTTCGTGGAGGACTTTCTAAAGAAACCTGGCTCGTATACACGTTACACATGGGGAAAACCACGGAAACGCCCATGCAGCCAGCCCTTTCGCGGGATTCAAACCTCGGACCGAACTACCAGTGTTCAGCGTCTTTACCGCTCGGCCGCTGGTGGGCGGTACACTACGAAGGCATACAGAAAGGAGGGAGAAAATATTACCCCTTTGAAATGACGACTGGGTATTAGGGAACCCATCGGCCAAATCCTGGTGGAGAAGAATCATCATCCGCTACCTTTTAGTTCGGGAGCCACTGTAGGGACATTAGGTTATTTGTGAATCAGGAGACATGAAAAATGATCAATGTCCTCGCCGGGACTTAAATCTAGACCTCCCGGATGTGCTACCGTTAAACAAAGAAGGCTTGCAGAAAGAAGGGACAAGTACCTTATACATTAATCTGATTTGTGTAACTTAGTAGACCGTTTCACTTCTTCAATAGCAGAAGTCTATACTTTAAAATGATCAATGCTCTCGCCGGGACTTAAATCTAGACCTCCCGGATGTGCTACCGTTAAACAAAGAAGGCTTGCAGAACGAAGGGAGAAGTACCTTATACATTAATCTGATTTGTGTAACTCAGTAGACCGTTTCGCTTCTTCAATAGCAGAAGTCTATACTTTAAAATGATCAATGTCCTCGCCGGGACTTAAACCTAGACCTCCCGGATGTGCTACCAAGGCTTGCAGAAAGAAGGGAGAAGTACCTTATACATTAATCTGATTTGTGTAACTTAGTAGACCGTTTCGCTTCTCCAATAGCAGAAGACTATATTTTTTGACTGCTTCATTAGTTCAAAAGTACCAGAAATATATATCTTAAAATTACGATAATCTCTCGTTATATTATTGCTTATATTCGTAATTTAACTATCGGATTTTATAAATACTACTTTATTCAATTCAAATATCAGACAAAATATTTAAATTTTATTGACACTACCTAGCACTCAGAACTAGAACTACCTAGAACTATGTTTCCAAGCTCAATACTTGCTACTAATAAAATAAATAAATTAATGAATAATATTAACCAATCAACTGTATATCACAGAAATTAGATTAATAAGCTTGCACGTAATCAGCCATAAATATTACATTATATTAAAAGAAGAATTGAAACTAATTTCTGCATCCGGAGTGAAAAGAAAGAGGCACGATGGTACTCACCCTGGTGCATTTGAAGACGGCAAGTTCTGTTTGCGTGTAACAATGATGGCAGATGTAAATGAAACGGTCACCTTGGTCAGATGTCAGACATCATCGCAGCAATCACACAGAAGCGCTGAGAGAGTAACCCTATCTTCAAAGGGGAGGGAAGTTCCTTGGTTACAAGCGCATTGACCCAGAAGTGCCATGCGTTTTAGAAGACCTTTTCGCTGGCAAGCAAGTTCACGTGCAACTCATGAAGTTTTTGTGACATGTAGATGAAAGAAACATACCCACCATACATGTAACGTATTCGAAGTTACTTTACTTTTATAACTTTCTTTCAGCTATAAGAAAGGATAATTAAATATGAATGAAAAAAAAAAAAAAAAAAAAAAAAAAACTAATTCACGAATTCACAGTTAGAAAATTACTATTTAGAATTACTAGCATTAGAAAATTACTATTTAGAAAAGAATCAGTGTATTTTGAATTAATTTTCTTCATTATGTCTTCAAGATTTAAAAAAATATTCCCTCCGAATATTACTTCTACGGCAGCTGAAATCTCTGAATGTGCAGAAAGTAATGTAATAATAAAAAAATCTGATGTGTACACCACATGACTTCCTTGTACGGAATATTAAATTACACGCATTTTTTCTTGCATTTTGTTTAAACTTATTGGATTTAATTATATCTACTTCGCCGACGCGCATAAACCACAATAGAACAAGTGCATTCTTTAAAATTCACTCTATTTGTTTACCATAGCGACACTCTGGCGCTAGGTTCACTTAACAGTATTATATTTCGTTCATATTATAACTCTGAATGCACAAAATTTATATCATTTAAAGAATTATCTAATCGTTGCCACATGTTCTATTCAAGTACTATAATAAAGCTAGAACTATGTATAAAAGAAATTAAGCAAACAAGACAAAAAAAGAAACAGTTTTTCACAGACGATTGAGTATTTCTCATTCAATTAATTCAGTTCTCACTTCGCGACAAGGCAAAAATACATAAAAACTCAAAATATCTCTAGTAAAAATTACTAATTATTAAAAATTAAATTATTAAAAATTAAGTAAATCTTAAACACTTATTTCCTCGAAAAAATTCCAGAAAGATTAAGCATGATTTAAATAGCAATAATAAATCAAGGCGATTATCTTTGTTGTTGCGAAGCTACGTTTCTCTAGATTGGTAACAAATTCACTACTCAGCTGTTTCAAATGTAAACAAGCAATGGCCGCCATCGAAATAGACTTAGCGGCACTTAAACAACTTTTAAATTGTTGATAATTCTAAAAATACTGCATACAGATTTCCTAAAGGCATAAAACCCTTAACCGGAAGATAAAAACAACATAATTAAATGATTTTTAAAGCAAAAAATGTACTTTTTACAAACATATAAGAGTAAAGAAACTGAGATCACTGTGCCGGGTAACAGAGTGGATATATATATAAATATATTTATATACGTTTGGCGCGGCCGATTGCAACCAAAATACGAGGTGCACATCTACATGTTATTGTAGTCTTATATACAAAATTTCAACGTTCTAAGGCTACTCGTTTTTGAGTTTTGCGAGATACGTACGTACGTTCGTAGGTACATACGTTCGTACAGACGCCACGAAAAATTCTCTTCAGAATTCATTTTAAAGCAGTTTTTTAGTTTTTTTGGAGGAAAAGTTTTGTTCTATCCTTATGTACAGATATCACGCAAAAACATCGTTAAATTGCATTCGAAAGCGGTCAAAGTGGATATTTTCGTTGAAATATGCTGCCTGAAGCTTTTCGCGATTACAATACTTCCTTTTTACTTCGTACAAGGAAGTAAAAATTATCATAAATATGTCTATCTTGTGAAGGGTACGGAATTTTAAAGATACTTTAGAATCTCAAGATAAAGATATATTAATCGTAGATATTCGTAGTAATACTTATAAATTATTAACCTTGCGTAATCCAGTTATTAAATTACGCAATTTTATTTCACTCAAAAAATGTAATTTCTGCTCAAGTACCTTTCAGTTACACAGTTTTCTAATAGATTTCTAGCTCTTTACCTTCTAAGCGTTGGGCGCAGTTTTACTTAGAATTAAATTCTTAGTTACCTGTGTTTCTGCATATGAAGGGTAACGTTAATTGAAGCTGATTTTATCTAAGAAAAAACGCTTTTAGCTATTTAACACTATCGTATTTTTCAGGTGACTGCCAATTGAAGAAGGGTACTTAAGAAGAGTAAAAAGAAGGTGGGTAAAAGTTATCTTTCTTTCACTCAGCTTTACTTGGTGCACATCATTTTTTTATTATTCTTTCATTTTTGCTAGTTTTGACTTTTATTTATTTATTTATTTTTTACTTTTTTACTGTTGCCTTCGTTTATCTTATTAGCATTTTGTTTGACAAAATGCAACTGTATTTATTTATTTTTTACTTTTTTACTGTTGCATTCGTTTATCTTATTAGCATTTTGTTTGACAAAATGCAACTGTAAAATATTCCTCCAATTTATACCTGTACGCCACTAAATCTTCCTTTAATCTTAATAAACGCAGTATGCCGTATAGAAAGTGATAAGTGATAAGTGACGGAGGACGTGGGCACTGTCCCTTTACCTTAATGGTTAATCAGTACAGCACCACGTCCGCCATTATCCAGAGCCGCCAATGGGGTTCGCTGCATGCCGTATAGAAACAAAGAAAATCAAACTCCTAACAGCTTTTACTGTTGTAACATCGCTTATTGTGCAATTAATAAATAAACAACACTACGCTCAGCGGCGGAGCAGCCTTCGTGGACCACGGCCTGCAATGCCCTTTTTCTGTTTTCTTGACCTTTGGGCCCCAGAGTGGCAAGTGGTCAACTTGTCGCAGGACCCCCGGTGTTTACCAAATGGGTCTATAAGATGAGTACCAAGCGAACTTGGTACTCATTTTATAGTCCCACTTAGGGGATGAAAGGCTGAGTCAACCTTGCCCAACCCGGGGATCGAGCCCCGGACCTGAGGTGCAGCTGCACGACGCGCTAGCCACTACGCCACCGGGGGGTCAATAAACGCACTACTTCTAAAAATAAAACGAACGGGCTGGTTGCATGGGTGTTTTCGTGGTTTTCCCCGTGTGTAACGTGTATACGAACCAGTTTTCCTTAGAAAGCCCTCCACGAAGTCATCCCTCCCCTTAGGCAGATAGCCCTAGTGTGCTTTGCCATAATTAAATACACCACACCACTAAGAATAAAAATGTATGTTAGGAGATTTCAACAAGAGTGGCTATTACTCCAAAGAGGCAATTTGCCCAGGAGGACTGTTAATTTCGTTTTGGTATTTTGCCTCAATTCACGGTAAGCGTTGTTTCACTTTTCAGATTGTTGCCACCAAACATTATCCCCCTGTATTATATTTAAAGAAATTAAATAATTAAGAATCTGCGTGAATGTATGTATGTTTCTCGCACTGTGATAAAACAACGGTACCTACAGCTATCAAATTTGGAATAGCGTAATCTTCCATAAGAATATAGGCATGTGGAAGCCCTAATTTGAATTTGAAATTTGCTTTATTATCGATTTCATATTTTGTAACACTTCAAAAATTTTTTGATTAACAAACTAAACGATTTCAGAGCGAACAATGGCAATACTGTATGGAGGAAAAAAACATTTTTTTCACCAGCGCGCGAGACTCTGTATCGGAAATTCTAAGGATATGTATTTTTTTCCCTTATTCTGAAATTAAAAATAGAGTGATAATAAGAAATATAGATACGATTTTGTAAAATTTTGTATTATTCTAAACTTTCTCAATAAGACTCTTTAGAATGTTTTTCTTTCATAACGGTTATTTTTCATTTTGCTGCAATTCTTCGACTTAAAAATAAAACTTAGGCAGCATACAGCATCTTCTTGACGTTCAGTAAGCAAAACGAATCTTTATAAGGGATTTAAACTGCGGGTTGAGTACTACAGGGGAAACGTTTTTCAAGTATTTGACAAATAATTTATTGCATTTACAAATTTGCTTGCTAAAGAGTACCAGTATGGATAACTGGAATTCTACAATATACACAAAATTAGTACAGTTTTAGTGATTAGTCCCGCTCTATCGGTATGGAAGTTAGTAGAAGCAGTTCGGACACTGATGGACCGCAGTTCTATTGCTGTGTAAGCAAGACTTGAATACTCCTAATTCTGCAATGCTCAGGCCTAAAACCTCACATTTCCAAAATTCCCTGCCCTGTAAACCACAAAATTCTGTTTTTACCTCTTGTAAATTAAAATGGGGTCATTAAAAGCTCCTGAAAGAACGAAAAATATCAAAAATCCCTACTAACCAAACTACACTGCTTGCAAATTGCAACACCAAGAAAGACAAGAGATATCACAACAAAATCTATTTAGTAGATAACATGTTGACCAAGTATCAAATGATTAAATTTATAGACTTCTGTGAAGTGTGGTTTCTTCCAGAATCAGTAGCCAGAGTAGCCGCCATTGTTGGAGATAACCGCTGCCACACGCCTCGGCATTGATTCAAAGAGACTTTGGATGTGTTCTTGGGGTACAGCAGACCAAGCAGCTTCCACACGTTGCGAAAGTTGATCTGGTGTGGTAGCTTGGGATGTAATCTGTGTCAATCGTTCAGCAACCAATCGTTCGCAAGTATGCGAAGTAATGCTCAATCACATGTTTCTATCGGCGAAAGATCCGGAAAGCGAGCCGGCCAGGGAAGTAATTCAATCTGGCGACTGACGAAGAACCCTTGGACAATGCGTGCAACGTGTGGTCGCGCATTATCCTGTTGAAATATGGCTGTGGGCAAGCCCTGAAGGCAAGGAAGGACAACTGGCTCCAACACCTCGGAGATGTAGCGCTGTTTAAAGTACCGGCAATGTGTACTACAGGAGTGCGAAAGTGATATCCAATACTGCCCCATACCATAATACCCGGTGCAGGACCAGTGTGGCGGTGCATAACGCAGCTGTTCAGCATCCTCTCTCCACGGTGTCTCCAGACTCGAATCCGACCATCGTGGTGTTGCAGACAGAAGCGTAACTCATCAGTAAAGACAATTTCATTCCATTCTGCCGTCCACATCCTTCTTTCATCGCACCACTGGCGGCGGAGACGTCTGTGGTTCTGCGTCAAGGGTAGACGAAGCAAATGGACGTCTTGCGGACAGACCACTCTGCTGTCAACGGCGTCGAATCATACGCGCAGACACTGGGTGATGCGTTACAGACTTAATGTGCTGTGCTATGGTTCGT